TTACTTCATTTTCTCATACATAGGCTAAGATTTTTTTATATAGAAAGAATAATGAGAATAAAATTTTATTTATGTATTTAATATGAAAAGTTAAATAAAATAAGACTGTTATTTGTGGTCATGTAAGTTTATATACATAAGTTTGCGTTTATTTCAGTCTATTTTATATTTTATATCTATATGTATATTTTCTCTAAGGAAAAATAATAAGGAATAGAAAAATTTAAAAAATTTGCTCTGGAATTTGTCAAAAGAGTGTTGTGTTATGCTTCATTTTAAGGTATCTAAATATTCATTAGAAATTTTTAAATTTGTTTTTAAATGGTTTATTCTTTTTCATTACTTATGATAAATATATACTGACTGACATAACTTCATTTTTATTAACAATGTCGTGCATTGTAGTCTGCATTCTTTGTTACATATAAAATAATTGATGCTAATAAATGTTGTTTTATAGTTGTTAAAAGTTTGCGTATATGTTTGCATGTATATTATGATCAAAGTTAAAATTTTTTTGATAAATATGTGTATGTGGTGATATATGTTATATAGCTGTTTTATAAATGTGTTTTTATAATAGTATGAAATGTATTATATCTAATTTCTGCAAGATTGTTAAATGGGGTGTTTTTATATGCTAAGTAACATTAAAAAAATATATTGTGTTTTATAATTAGTATATATGTTTATATAATGTTGTTTCCATGATTTCAAAGTGAAATGACTTGGCAAACGTGTAGAGCAAGATTTATCAACCTTACCAGTCAAGCGATGTTACTGCTTTAGGCCTAAGTGTTGCCTAGACTTTAATATAACTATTCTGAAAACACATTGCTTTATCTTTAATAATTTTTTGCATAATGTTGTTACCTTTGGTTTACCTTTACGTTGGTGTCAGCTGTTAAAAATGATTAATAAGTAGTTTCATTATTAGAACTCACTGCTTTTATTTATTTACTGAAATTCTTTCAAGACATAATTTCACTATAAATACAATTTGTTTATCATAAAAAAACAATATTTAGCAACTACTACTCAGGTATCACCACAGCTTATCTCTATCAGGTACATTGATTTTCAATTTACATATGATGTTTTTTTTTGTATTTACTTATTCGTTACACTTTTAACTTCAGATTTATGGTGTATTTATTTGCTATAGAAGAACAAATCATTTTGAATTTTTTAAAAATATCTACTCCAATCAACATTTAAAGTTAATTGTTGCATATACCATTTTTAAGTAGCTTCTAGGCTTTTTTTATGCTTTTCTATTAAAGTGGTTTTATAAGCAAGGTCTACAAGCAAATTTGAGATGAAAAGTTTTCAGCTTTCAAGGAGGATTAATGTTGTTCTCTGTTTAATTTAATTTGTTTAAATAGAGTAGTTTTAGTAAATAAATGTTTGTTAGTTCTTGGTTTTTTACTTATTTGTTTTCAGATTCCTAAGAACTAGGCAACTTAGCAAAGCAAGATTTTTTTTATTTTTTAGCGCAATTGGAAAGAGCTAAAGTGCTTTTTAGTCACTTCAAATCATTTGTTGTTTTTTTTTTAAATAGAAGAGTTAATAATAAAAATATTTAGACAGTCGAACTGTTACTGATTTAAGTAAGTTTAATGTTTTGTTTAATTTTATATTAGATATATATTTTATGTATTTAACATGGAAAACTTACTGTAATTTTTGACAGGTAAGTTTATATACATAAATGTGCCTATATATCAAAATATTTTATATTTCTCTGAATCTATATGAATATAATCTCAAAGAAAAAATTAAGAATAGAAAAAATTCGAATATATATACATATATATATTACTTTAGACTGACATTGCTTCATTTTTAATACAAGATTCTGCTTTTATTATTTTTGTGCATTAAGATTGTGCCTGAAGGCTTTCTTAATTTAGCAAAGAATTTAGAACACAATGCAAATAACTTTGCATTGTGTTCTAAATTCTTTGCTAAATTAAAATAATGTCAATAATTTTAATTTATTTGACTTTACATTAGACACTTTAAAATAAAGCAAAGTATGAATTTTACTATTTATAGTAACAAATAATAACAGTTTCAATTTTAAATTTTTTTTTTTTTTTTTTTTGTTATCTCAAACATAATTGTGTTCATTTTTTTTTTAGTTGTCTTTGTCATCACTTGATTATTTTGCTTACTGTTGAAACATGGTTTTAATTTTGTAAATTTAATATGATGTGAAATTTACAATATTAATCATATTTCAACAGTTAGAGAGAAGCTAGAACTTATTTAAGAAATGCTGGAAATTAACTTTTAGTTAAGGTAAAAATAATTTTGTTTATTGGAAGCATAATAAAACCAGTTACTGTTATTTATTGCATGACTTTTTTACTTTTCTAACATGCTGTTTTTAAAACACTTCCTCTCTCTCTTAGATGAGACTTAAATAAGAATTAGTATTGAGAATTGTAGAGAGATAATTGATTAAGCTCTGTAATTACTAAGCTCTTGCGTATTTTTTAATACTGCGATTGATAATTTGCTATTTAAAGATATAATTCATTAAATTGTCCCTTGGTTGTTCAAATATTGTAATAATTTTCAGTTACAAGTATTTTCTCTTAGGGATCGTCTATATATTACCTAACGTATTTCTCTAATGGTCAACTATATGCTGCATTTTCAAGAACTATAGCATTAAATAGTTTGTTTTTCAAAATGTAACAAATATTGTTATATTTTTTAATGTTCTTAATTTATAGTCTTTAGATTTTCATTTCAAAAATTTATTGTTAAAGGTTGTGAACACATTTTGTATGTATAATTTTATCTTTTTTTTTTTTTTTTTTTTTAATTGTTTTTGGTAAATATATCTATCATTCAATAGTTGTAAAATGTGTTTATACGTGTTACATAAAATCATATTTGTTTATAGTTGTATATATGTTTAAATTATAAATGCCAAAACATCAATTTATATCTTAGATTTTTTTTTTAGTATTGCTTAAGTACTTTAGTATTGCTTTGGTACTTCGAAATAGGTTACTATAAATAGGTAAATCGATTTTTGGTAATTGTGTGGTTTTTTTTTTTTTTTTTTTTTTTTTTGTAATTATGATATCATAATTTCATTACTTTTTTATTTTAGAACTATGTTATGACGCTTTTATAAGATTTATAAAATAAAATAACCTGATTTTTTTTTTATTGTAAATTTTTGTTAGTTAAAAAGATATAAATATATGCTATTAGTTAATAGAATGGGGGGTCGTAACTAAAAACCTTTAAAAATATGGAAAATATTGTAGTTTTGCGCATTAATATCAAGTTACTTAAGTTTTATTTATGTGTTTAACTAATTAGTTAGCTTAGTCTGTATTTGCAACACTTTTGAGGAAAGAAAGAAAACATTCTTATATATGTAGATCATTGTTTTACATTTTATTATTTTATTTTATTCATCTGGCCACCATTAAAGCAAAAAAGAGGGAAGGAACCTCTATTAGAGTCAAAATATTTAGGAAAATTAAATTTCGAGCTACAAAAGGAATTTTTAGTAAATGGTGGCAAATTACCGTTTACTAAAAATTAATGAAATAAAGAGGACAAACTAATATAGAAATGGTCTGTGTTGAACAGACTTAACAAGACCCGGGTCGGATCAGCTTGGTTTACAAATTTTTATGTCTACTTATCTCTTATAATTTTTGTTTTAGGTTTGTCATATGATGCATTAATGCATTAAAAAATTTGTTATACCCATGTTTGATCGTAAATTAATTTTTTTTTGTTTGAAAGGTATTTGAACTCAGTTGCGTAGTTATTTATAATAAACTTTGTTATTTTTAATAAATTTATTTAAATGTGTGCATTTAACATTTTTAAGTTAGCAATTTTCTTTTCTAAAGAACAATTAATCAAGGGGATACCAAAAAATTGATAACTCCTGTATAATATAAGTTAACTTCATTTTAATCTTAATGGTTTGTGTTATAAAAATTATTACAAAAATTAAGTTGACACTTTCATCAATTTAAAGCATGACGAAGTGTTATTATTTTGTGTCATTAACTAAAAACGTATTGTGTTAAACTTAGGAAGGTCGATGAAAATGGTTCTGCCTAACACTGTTATGACCTATGCCATTTGTAAATTACTTAAATAATGTTAAGTAGTAATTGTAAATGTTAAGTAGTAGTTGGTAAATTATTTTACCTCATACTTTTTATGTTAATTTTACCGATGGATTAATTTTTTCAAGCTGAAGGCGTTTTTCTAAAAGGGTATTAGTTAAGGTTTTGCAACATTAAATTGTGGAAAACAGCCACTATAAATTAATTATGTAACAGACCGACCAAAACCCGTATTACGGGTTGCTTTTTGCTAGTCATTAATTATTGGTTAAAAAACAGTTTAAACCAATCACTATTTAATAAAACAACAATTGCATCAGTTGCTACGAAACTTCCGCAAAAAAACTTTACAAAAAAGATAAGAAATGCTATTTATAGGGTAATTCGGGGCAATATGCGACAACGGGAAAGATGAGACAACTTTCTTTTATCCTTTCTGGAAATAGTAATCATCATAGTCCTTCATTAATATTAAGCATATAGTTTATGGTTGTACTTGCTAAGCTTAATACACCTGTTTTTTGGAATGTTTAGTTTGTTTGATGACAAAATAACTGGTATTTTTGAAACTTAGTAAAGCCATTATTTTTTTCAACACGTTTCTTAGTGAAGACATATTCAATGTAATTCATATTCTTGATATATATTTAGATGTACTAGTGTCATGCTGCTAACTTTTTAAAAAAAGATTTCTTTATTATTCATACCCCAAAAAGAAAAGAAAACTTAATTTAATTTGTAAGGTAAGAATTTTATGTTTTTAACATACGGTCTTTGTGGGAAAGATGAGACAGTCCATTATTCAGTTGTTTTAATTTTTAGATACTCTGATATATACTCCGAAAAACCAAAAAAAATTTTTGTAAACATTTTATGGTTTTTATGATGGTTAGAAATTACAAACGAAAAACAAATCGTGGAAATTATGATAAAAGCAATATGAAATTAGCTATCCAAGCTGTCAAAAATAAAGAAATGACATTAAGTAAAGCTGCTAATGAATATTCGGTTTTAAAAGATTCTCTCAACAGAAGAGTTAATAAATCAATAAAAACAATGCCTGATGATAAAACACACATAAAATTGCTTGGTCCTTATAGAAAAGTGTTATCTGATGCCCAAGAAAAAGGTTTAGCACAGTATATAATCAAAATGGAGTTAGTCTTTTATGGTCTATCAATTAATGAACTTCAAAGGGTGGTGTATGACTATGTTGTACGCAATAAAATAAACCATCCATTTAATACTGAAAAGAAACTTGCTGGTCGAGATTTTATAGTTGGATTTTTGAAACGACAACTCTTTTAGTCTATTCGAAAACCTGAGGCAGTATCCATAAATCGAGTTTTTGGTTCAAATAAGGCTGCTGTTCAAAGATATTTTGACAATCTGGAAAAACTTATTAACGAAAACCAGTTTGAAGCAAATCGCATCTACAACTGTGATGAATCTGGATTAACATGTGTTCACAAGCCTTTAAAAGTAATAGCTCATAAAAGTAATAAGCGAGAAGTTGCAAATTTTTTTATTTGCTTTAGTGAAAAACCAAATTATTATTTGTATGTCTGTATTTATTTTTATTTTGTATTGTCTATATTTTTATAATTGTATTTTTACAGGCCAACGTGTTGTATCTTCAGTAACTAGTGGTGAGAGAGGCCAAACAACAACTATTATACTAGCTTTTAATTGTGTGGGACACTACATACCTCCTATGATTATTTTAAAAAGAAAACGGATGCTAGATTTATTGATTGATGATGCACCACCAGGAACACTTGGACGCTGTTCTAAAAGTGGTTGGGTAGATACAAATTTGTTTATGGATTTTATAAGACACTTTGTAATACATGGAAATTGTAGCACTACAAAAAAGTGTTTGTTAATTCTTGATGGTCACAAATTACACACCAAAAATCTTGATCTTCTCAATTATGCTAGCATAAATGGATTGCATATTTTATCACTACCACCACATACATCCCATAAGCTCCAACCACTTGATCGATCTTTGTTCAAACCTTTGAAAAGTGCTTATAACTTAGTATGCACAACATGGATGAGAAAGCACCCAGGAAGAAGAATTACAGTTGATAAACTTTCAGGACTATTTTGTCAAGCTTATGTGAAAGCAGCTACAGTGGAAAATGCTATTTCTGGATTTCGAGTAACAGGCATCAATCCTTTTAATCGAGGAATCCTTCCTGAGTCAGATTATTTTGAAAATCCATGTTTAAAAGATAGTAATACAAACATAATATTTAATGAAATAGCAGATATAAATCCTAAACAATCATCTACAACTAATTCTTTAATTGGGCCGAACCAAAATTTGAATGTTCAAACATCCATTGCTAGTTTTTCAGTTAATGAAATAAATGCCTCGTTGTCAATTTCAAACTCTCAACAGCTTTCTTTTACTGATATATTATCAATTCCAGCTATTGAAGTGAAGACAACAAAAAGAAAGGGAGAAAAGTCAGAAATTTTGACTAGCACATCGTATAAAAAAACTTTGTAGGAGGGGTTGGAAAACAAAAAAAAAGTTAAATACAACAAAAAAAGAAAAAATATAGCCAGAAATGTGTCCAATGCTTTAGGTGTAAATTATGGTACCATGAAGTTTATTTTGTTAAGTTAGGGACAGATTTTTTGTGTAAACTGTGTGTGTGCCATGATTATATTTAAACATTCTATGATCCATTAATTTATGTCTTATAGTTGAGTATAACTTGTGCAACAATTTGTTCGGGTGGTGCTTAAGTTTGAACTATGTTTAATATCTATGTTTAATATTTAATATTATCTATGTTTAATATTTAATCTCTAATTTTAACCTATGTTTTTTAAGGTTTACTTAACTGTGGTTAGATTTAGCCAAGCAGGTTAATTTTAAGCTAAAGTTACTATATTTTTTATGAAATATATTTAACATCTTTTATGATAAAAAATAATTGGATAAGTCTCTTATTTTTTCTCTTTAGTTGCATTACATATGCTGTCTCGTTTTGCCCCGTAAGGTGGGGAACATGAGACACGCTGTTGCTATTTATAAAATTCTCTGTGTATCCAATTAAAAATAAATTTTAAAATTTACTTATAAGTTTTGAAAAGAGTTACCCTAAGTAAGATTTACTGTACACTTGTTTAGTTTTTTCCTTAATTCCAGGTCTATTTACATAATTTTTAATCCTTAAGTGTCTCGTACTGCTCCGAATTACCCTAACCAATCAAATTTGTAGAAAGTTTAGAACAATTGCATCAGTTGCTCCAAATCGTTCAAATTTTACAAAATTCTGATATGCCACCTGATAAACGTTCTTCACTCGTAATTTTCGTCATTGGACTTTGCTTGTAAACTAAAGTTTAAAAAAAAAATGAATTTTTTAGTCTCAAATGTAATTAGAGCTAGACATTTGCCAAATATTCGCAAATATAAAATCAGTTGACTGAAGAATTGAAAGTTTTAAATAATATGAGTCCAGTTCAGCCACATAGTCAGTCTTCTGAAAATACTGAAATGGATTGTTTTATCCCAAAGCAAGAAGATACTAAAGATTATGTTGCTTTAAGGTAAAACCCTATTATTAAAGTTAATGGTATTTTATATTTCCAGCTAGTATTTAATATAAACTGAGCTTGTTTTAGTATACTTTTTATTTTATTTAAGGTCATCTGAAGATGGAAATTGCCTCTACAGTTCAGCTTCTCTTTTAAGCAATTCATCTCTGAAGACAGTTAATGTATTGAGGCTTCTAACTTCGATTGAATTGTTTGAAAAAGCTTCCTACTATGCGAGGTACTCCCTTTTTTTAAACAGGTTGAAAACAATAATTTTTCTAATCTTTCCAGTGTTCTAGTAGCCTGTGTTTCTTTTGAATGTTCAGATCAGTTTAAATTAATTAACAGTGAATCAGCTTCTGAGATTATAATAATGGAAGCATTGATCAACTGCTGAGCTAATAAGTTTTCTTCATTTTTATGTCTAATTGCTTTGTCATCAGTTTTAAATATTCCTATTAGATCAATTTATCCTGATTTTGGCTTAGAAAAATTCAAAACACTTTTTAATACAATTATTTTTCCATTTCGTTCAATAAAAAATCAAGATCAATATGTTTTAAATATTTTATGGTGTAATACTGATATTTTGCATCACTGATGATGTCAGTGATGCAAAATAATAATAACTGGACACCGAACCATTTTGTACCAATTATTAAAAAGCCTAAACTAATTTCTAGTAATAATAAGAATTGGCTATAAAAAACGATGCTACTTATCCTTTACACTTTTTTAGTCCTAAAACTGAAACAAATAAAAAAAAAAAAAAAACTTGATTCTGCAAAACATGTCAAAATTCAATCTAAAATTAAGTTTAAAAAAGACAATGCTTTTATAGAGTTGTCTTTTGAACCTTCTGTAGATTCAAAAATAGTTAAGTCATTAGACTCCAACTCAGTTATTATTCCTTCATATAATGAATTAAATTCTTTGTATTTGTTTTGTTCAACATATCTTGTATTTGTTTTGTTCAACATATCTTGTATTTGTTTTGTTCAACATATCTTTTAATATTGGCAAACTTTTGTAAACTTTTAATCGCTGGCAAAGATGATACTATTTTGTTAGATATGGTAAACAAAGTATTTTGTCCTAATTCTATGTTTGTTTTTCCAATATCTTTTAATACAAAAAGATCATTTAAATTTGAATGGCTCAGCCAGTTTTCTTGGTTAGCTTATTCTAGCAAAGAAGATGGAGCTTACTGTCTTCCTTGTACTTTGCTAGATGCTAGTATTCCAAGTAAGTCTGGAATATTAAATTTGTGGGCAATGTTGTTCGTGATTATAGAAAACATGAGGAAAATTGTGTTTTACATGAAAAATCTATGCTTTCATTTAATGCATTGCTTTCACATTGCAATTCCAAAAGTAATGTTATTGAGGTTGATTTAAATAATTCTCGTTTGAAACTTCTTTCTGATAACCGAAAAAAATTAGTTCCAATAATTAAAACAATAATATTTCTTGGTAGAAACGATCTAGCATTTCGTGGACATCGTGATGATAGCAAATATCATCCTGATATTGGGGAATCTTCTACACAAAAAGTTGGAGTTAATAACCAAAAAGTTCAAATAATGAGATTTGCGAGGATTTCTTAAGATTTATTGATTGCAAGACTGGTACATCTGGTCTTAGTCTATCTCTAAATGTACTTAATGCACTTCAAGAGTTTGGACTTGATATTCAAAATTGTAGAGGCTTAGAGTATGATGGTGCGAGTTGTATGGCAGGTGAGTATAAAGGAGTTGCTTCTCGAATAAAAGCTCTTAATCATAAAGCTATATTTGTTCATTGTGCAAGCCATAGACTTAGTTTAGTAGTAGCAGCTGCATGCCAAGTTCAAAAAGTAAAAAATCTTCTTGGCCAAGTAAAAGAAATTTCTTATTTTTTTAACTTATCTCCTAAACGTAGTAACTGTCTCAAAAAATATTTAAGACAAATCAAGAAAAAATACTTGTCATACTTGTCGAACAAGATGGGTTCAAAAGCTGAGAGGTGTTTTTTTTGATAATTTTATACCTATTATTCATGCTTTAGAGGAGATGGGGTTAAATGAGTCAAAGGAATATAACAGTTAAACTGCTTCCAAAATCCTCTTCTTTTTTAAGATTATTAACAGATTCCTCTTTTATTGTAAGTTTAGTTATTACAAAACAATTAATGGATTTTTTTAATGCAATTACTGTAACTCATCAAACTAAATCTTTTGACATATTCCAGCAGTGTTTTGAAATAACTAATCTAAAAAATCTGTTATTAGAAATTAAAAATAAAATTGATATATATCACACTGAATGGTACGCTATCGCTCTTAGTTTGGCCAAAACTCTTGATATACAAGAAGTGAGACCTAGATTGTGTAATGTCCAGGTTTACCGGGATAATTATCCAACAAATACAGTTTGTGACTATTTTAAACAGCATTACTTCTCCATTAATTGAACATCTTATTAATGAGTTAGATAATAGGTTTCCAGAAAATGGCATGTTTGTTTATAAAGGTCTAGCAGCAGTTCCTTCAACTGTACTATCCAGAATACAAGTTAAAAAACCATGGAAATCTGATTTTTATGAATTTTTAAATTTCTATTCATCTGATATGCCTCATTTTACTTCAATACATGCTGAGTTAGATTTATGGGAATTATTTTGGAAAAAATAGTCAAGTATTCCTTCAACTGTTGCTGGTACTTTAAAGTCCATTGACATAAGAGGTTTTCCAAATATAAGGACAGCATTTATAATTTTAGGAACAATTCCAATAACAACTTGTGAATGTGAAAGAAGTATTTCAGTTATACGTAGGCTAAAAACATACTCCAGAAGTAATATGATTGGGTCTCGCTTTAACTCTTTAGCATTAATGTCCATACATCAAGAAATTTTTCCAGATGTTGAAAGAGTCATTGACATTTTTTCAAAGTCAGGTGAAAGACGTTTAGACTTAGCTTTTATTTAGTAGTGTACTAACTTTTATTTTACTTTTTAATTTGATTTTTACTAATATTGTGTGTGTGTGTGTATGTGTATATATATATATATATATATATATATATACATATTTATATATATATATATATATATATATATATATATATATATATATATATATATATATATATAAATATGTATATATGTATATGTATATATATATATATATATATATATATATATATATATATATATATATATATTATATGTATATGTATATGTATATATATATATATATATATATATATATATATATATATATTATATGTATATTAATTATATATATAATATAAATATATTATGTATATATGTGTATGTGTATATATATATATATATATATATATATATATATATATATATATATATATATATATATATATATATATATATATATATATGTATATATATATAAAATATAGAACTTCAATAAAAAAATATAACAAAAATTATTATAATAAAAAACAGTTTAAAATTAGAAAAAAAAAGAATCCAGATATGGTGGGCTAACCTTAGGCAAGATTAATAATATAAAATAAAATAAAGATAAAATCCAGAAATGGAGGACTAACCTTTATTATTATATTTCTTGTTACTTAACCTAATATTACTTAACTTAATAAATAAATAACCTAATATGACGTGTCTATCAAGAAAAGGAAAGAATCCAGAAATGGAGGGCTAACCTTAGGCAACATTACTTTACATGACGTGCCTATCAAGAAAAGGAAAGAATCCAGAAGTGGAGGGCCAACCTTAGGCAAATTACTTTACACTACTTGCCTCTCAAGAAAAGGAAAGAATCCAGAAATGGAGGGCTAACCTTGGACAAAATGACAGTATACAGATGAAGTGCAAAGTCCTATGGCTTACCTTCTCGTTGGTGCACTTTGTTAAGTAAATTAGGCTTAAAATTACATGTCTAATTTATGAACAAAATAGCCAAGGCAACATTTGTAAAAAT